CGGCCGCGGGCTGGAACTGAGACGGTGGGATGTCACGTCGAAAAGGGGGCGGTCGCAGCATTGGCGTCGGGTGAGAATTGGTTTAGTTTGGGACCTTATTTTTGCGACGACTGCAACCACCTCCAGCCGGAATGGAAATTGTTGGTAAGTGGCAACTGTTTGCCATGATGGCAGCGTTGGAACGCAGTCTCCGGCAACAAATGGTTTGCAGCAACCGTTTCGAAACAGTACTTTATTGAACAGGAATGCTATCAGAAGGGATGGGGCCTTCTAGGACCAGAACATGGCAAGCTTGGCATACCTTGGACCGCTGCACAGGTGTCCGGCAGCAGGAGCCGGAGCTGCTTGCAGGAGCAACACTTTACAGTGTGCGAACAAAGTCAAAAGGACAGAGAACAAGGCCGGGTGGTCCACACACAGAGGGTCCCCAAAAGCAAAAGCACCGCACTTGTGGCGTCGGAGCAAGGCCGCTAATCCTGTCACGCTTAGCTAAGGCCTTCAAGAACCGGTGCGAACAGGGTCACCAGGGCAAGGGACCAGGGTCCAAAGCACAGAACGAAGCATCCAAAGCACGAAAAACACACAACCTTTTAAATACTCACTCCAGGGGTGTGACTCCTAGCAATCCCCCGTGATCAAGAGTGCTACTCCGATCTGACCTGCAAGGGGCAGCGACCCATGGTGAAGTTTGTAGAGGGGAGGGTAGGACAGCACATAGCTCACCTACCTCTTGAGCATGAAGCGTTGTTTAGGAAATAGAGCAACTCGTACTTTTGAATCATACAGGTAGAGACACATGCAAGAACACGGCTCTCTACCAAACCGGCGTCCCACCCCTCTAATGAATGACTATATATTTATATAGGCATCGCGGCATCACTAGGTCGAAAAAACAAAACATAGTCATAAAACATTTTGCAGGTGCATACCATGGCCAAAAGTCCACAATCTGCCGAGGAACATCAATTGACTTGACTAAAACTGTTGGTGCATCCGAAAACGTGCATGCATGCTGCAAAACCACTGCCCAAACTTTGAAGTCGCTCCAATTCGTCAAGCTCATCACACACACACACACAGACACACACGCACGCGCGATCTCATCAGTTGACGGCAAATGTCGCGACTCAACTGCTGTTTGTGATGCTGCTGGGCTTGGCCTTCCAGGTGCATGCTTATCTATGCTTATCTTACTTACTATGGGGATGGGCTCCAACCTACTAACGATGGCCTCCAACCTAAGGCCTCTGACAGGCTGCTGGTGCAAGAGACGGATACGGGATCTTTGTCAGCTGGCGTCGTGTTGGTCACCACTGCCTCCTCCGCATCAAGTGTGACACCCAGCTGCGAGATGGTGATTGCCACGCGATGCCGAGTTCGCAGGGGGCTACTTGGGCATTTTAGACAGCCACTAGGATCTCTTCGCGACTGACTTGTGCTGGGTCGGGTTGGGTGGCCATGCTGCCATCAAGGTCAGGTAAGCACGGCCAAGATTTGTAAAGTTGGTGGAGAGCGCATTATCCACGCCGTCAGGTGAGGGCAAAGGCAAAGCTTGCAACGTTGCAGGTGGAGGCTCCTGCACAAGGGTTTGCGGGTTTCAGCGACAAAAGAGATGAGCAGGTGAGCAGGTTCCTGGAGGCCGTCATGTGCCTTGAAGACTGCTCCCAGCACCGACACCGCGTGTCCACGCGCACATGCTGGGTCCCGCGAGTATTTTGCAAAGCACTCAGCACACATACTCCCCTGCAAAAAAGGGTTCCCAACGGCCTAAGCAAGGGCCTAAGGCTCTTCTTTTTGCCACACAGGACTTGAAGCCCACGCAAGAGAGGTGGAACCGACAAGGTCTTGTGTGGTATCAGTTTGTTTTTGCTGATCAATGATCACTAATCACAATTCTGCAGATTCTAAACACCGACTTTCTGCCCGAAATGTACAACCTAAACGCCGTCTCTTTCGGAAGAACTCGTAAGTCAACGCTGATGGCCAACTGATGTGCACGCCGTGACGCCAGGGTAGGGGGCCAGGATTGTTACAGTCATCGCAGAGGTGACAGCTGCCATTCGGTGGAGTGGCATACAAGGACCAGAAAGAATGCGGTCATGAAACAAATGGTTTAGAGAACGTGCAGCACAAAAAGGACAGCTTTTCTCCACCACGCATGCCCGCTCTGTTCAGTCCTCTTCCTATTGGCTTCGCGTGTGGCTCCACAATACTGAAACTGAACTGTAGGTGCTTAGGTGTGGTACTGATACTGACGTCAAATGAAGGATAACACAAGGACTGCATAGTAGTGCGTCGAAAACCGGCTTTAACAAGATGGAGCCCACGAACCCGAATGCAAACACGTTCTAAAAGCTACATGTCCAAATGACACTCTTGTAGGACACTCTTGTGGGACACTCTTGTGGGTCACTCTTGTAGGAAACTCTTGTGGGACACTCTTACGGGACACTCTTGGGGGACACTCTTGTGGGACACTCTTGTAGGAAACTCTTGTGGGACACTCTTGTGGGACACTCTTGTGGGACACTCTTGTAGGACACTCTTGTGGGACACTCTAGTAGGAAACTCTTGTGGGACACCCTTGTGGGACACTCTTGTGGGACACTCCTGTGGGACACTCATTTGCTCTTGTGGGACACTCTTGTGGGACACTCTTGTAGGAAACTCTTGTGGGACACTCTTGTAGGACACTCTTGTGGGACACTCTTGTAGGGCACTCTTGTGGGACACTCTTGTGGGACACTCTTGTAGGAAACTCTTGTGGGACACTCTTGTGGGACACTCCTGCGGGACACTCTTGTGGGATACTCTTGTGGGACACTCTCGTGGGACACTCTTCTAGGAAACTCTTGTGGGACACTCTTGTAGGACACTCTTGTGGGACACTGTTGCGGGACACTCTTGTGGGACACTCTTAAGGGACACTCTTGTGAGACACTCTTGCGGGACACTGTTGCGGGACAGTCTTGTGGGACACTCCTACTCATTTGGGACACTCTTGCGGGACACTCTTGTGGGACACTCTTGTGGGACACTCCACTCTTGTGAGACACTCTTGCGGGACACTGTTGCGGGATACTCTTGTGGGACACTCCTGTGGGACACTCATTTGGGACACTCTTGCGGGACACTCTTGTAGGACACTCTTGTGGGACACTCTTGTGGGACACT